ACCCAGTTACATTGCGGGTACTGTACAAGTACGGTTATCTATTTAATAAAGTTCCAGTGAGAGGTATGATACTACAAGTACCTTCCCTGGCGAGCCCTGAGGTTTTTGTCGCGTTGTGCTGTGTTGTGCTGTGCGTGTGGAATGTTGAGTTTGGGGGCTGAGTTTTTCTTCTTCTTCTTCTTCTTCTTTCCTGGATCGCTTCCACTCGTTCTCCCTCTGCTATGATAGCCTATCTCTCTGCTTCTCTCTCTCCCCGCATAAATAACGAAAGAGTATTTAGTTATTTGAAGAAAAAAAAAAGCCGATTTTGCAATCGGTGGTAAGACTCCACTTATTAATCTGCGTGCATGCACCTCGCTGAATACTAACGAATAAGGTACTCGTATTGTATTATTACCGGGGAGCGGGGGCAACAAGATAGTTGGCTTCTTCTCCATTCAAATACATCGAATACAGTACGTTAAAAAGTTCTTGGCTTATTAACTTTCAGCCCCCGAGAAAAGCTCTAGCTCCGTGTGGTAAGAGGAGGGGGTGATGCGTATTGTACAGTAGCGAGTAAGTTGGCAAGTAAAAAAAAAACTTGGCGGAATGAAAAGCGGAGGACCGGTGAGAACCTTGATCTACAGTACCCTACTCTACTGTACTGTACAATACGAGTACTCGTATGGAGAAAAGGCCAGAAATGCTTGCAGTAAGATGGTGCCTGTTACTACCGAAAACGGTCCCTGTCGAAGTGAACTAAAGCCATTCCACGGGTAGCGGTACCGAATCTGTGATAGGTTTCTGCTCCCCGGAATGAGAGAGACTGACCCGAAAAAATCACTCGTGCAGACGTACCGTACAGTATAGTACTCACTCTGTGCGAACCGGACTTCCGGTCGATCCTTCTTCTCTCCCATTCCCCTCCACCTCCGGAGGGGAAGGGGGAGGATATTGTTCAAAATTCGGGAAATTGTGGCGAATTTGTATGGGACACTCACCCCTCCTCCGAGCACGTTACCTGAAGTGATGGACGTGCACTCAGGGTCATAGAACTAGGCGGTCAGTTTCTTTCTGGCTCGGGGTGAAACTTTGATGAGAAGAGAGAGAGGAAAAAAAAAAAAAAAAAAAAAAAAAAAAAAAAGTTCAGGTTGCAGACGGTATTGTGTGAACCAACGGAGGAGGCCAAGTTGTTGTATTATTATTACTGGATGGAGGATGCCGAATGATGGGCGGTAGGCAAATGCAACAAACACCTCGCAATAGCCCACTTGGTTTTACGGTCAGGCTATCACCCTTAAAACTAACTAACTTATCATTAGGCAAAAAGCACCGGAAGCGTTATTATCCAAATTTTACTGACTAAACTTATGCTGCTGCTTCGGTGGCTTACCCCTTCGAGTAGGGTACCCTACAATAACTGCAGCGCCAATCACAGGACTTCATGCCCTTCCACTCGGATTCGCTTTCCCTGTCTCAAGCCTCGAATGGTTATAATCAGCTTGCAGGATTTTTTTTAGTCCTGGCTTATCGGAGTCCATTGATTACCGTACCAGCACTTATACCCATCTCTCCTCACCTTTTGCCTCCGCTCCCCCACGGTACAATGGCAAGCAAGCTGAACCTGGACCAGAAGATCGGATGTTCAGTTCTTTTTTTTCGAATGCTCAAATGACTCAGCACATTGGAGTTCAATTATTCCGCCCAAATCGTAGAGTTCAAGCCGTCCCAGGACGGGTTTAGCGCGCCTAGCCAGAGGAATAGTACCCTTTAGCCTCACTTTCCACTAACTATTTCACCTTCGAGTGAGAGGGCATGAACTCCCATGCTTTTTCGCCCGGAAAACTGACTCACTTTCTAATGCCTCCCAATTGCAATGTGATATATCCCACCATCATCACCACCACCACCACCACCACCCGCTCCACCTATCATCACCACTAGAGCAACTCGACCACTAATAACCTCTCCGAGGTAGTTCTCACAGAAAAGAAAAGAAAAGAAAAGAAAAGAAAAAGAAAAACCACCACTAACCGGTAGCTCAGCCAACTAGGAGAGAGAGAGAGAGAGAAAAAAAAACCATTTGTCGATTTGGTTAGAAAAAGTACTGATCGGGGATGATAAAATAGAAACCAATTGACCCGTGAGAAGCAATCAACAGAACATTTTCCTTCATTCCTCGCCCTAACCTGCGCTATTGCTGCACATTTTGCTTTTGGTGGGGGGACATAATTTCCCATCTTCACCCTCCCCCCCCCCCCACCCATCGCCTCTTTTTCTTCTTCACGAAGGGGGAAGAGAAGAGAAAGCGCAAAAACAAAAAAGTAAAAACAAAACACAGTAATCACGGGCCCTTCTTATCGCGGGTGGGAATTATTTGAGATTTGATTAGTTGCCTGGTTTGGTGAATGAAAGTGAGGCTTAGGAAAGGTTTTTTTTTCTTTTCTTTTTTTTTTTTTTGCGTTCTTAGCATGGATTGTGTAAAGTTGGCTTAGCTATGTATGATACAGTACTTTTACAAAATACCATCCTGTACGACTACGACAATTAGAATACCGTGCTACTTGTAATTGGCATCAGCCAGCCTGCTGAGATATTAGCTTATCATACCCGGGTAAGGTTAGCCATCGTTCACAGCGGCACGAAGTAATGAGCGGAAATGCTGCATGATTGATCACTCGATTTACCGAGTACACACATAACTGCTCTGGCGCTTCAAAATTGTTATTATTTCTTTTTTAATTTTACGGCCGTGTAACTGTACAGTACGAGTACCATTCACTCAGTTGGTACAAGTATGCAGTACTAGTACATGGATGGATCGAGTATTACGCCTGTCGAACTTGCTGATTTACCGTGCCTTCTACTCGAGTACCGGTACCGTACTTGTAGCGAGTAAATCGGTAGGCTTACAGGCATTTGAAACCCATTACTATGACATATTATACTCCGTTGGTATCAGCAACTAATCCTCAACGACGGCTTAGAACCAACTCTCACTCCTGTCACTCGTATATCTTATCCTATTCCAAAGATGAAAAGAAAAGGGGGGGGGGGGGAGAAGAAGAGGAAGAAGAGGAAGAAGAAAAAAAAGAAAAACCTTGAAACATGTTCTGAAATGCATCATTCGGCAGATAGATCCTGATTCTCTCTCCCCCTACTCTTACAGTACCCCCTTCCATTCCCTGCGGAGATTTGAATCTTTGTCTCTCCCTTCGGTATCCGATATGTTTAGTAATCCAAATAACCGACCGGATCAAGCAAGCTTCCCTGTTCGGACGGACAGAACACACGGATGGCCAGACAGACAGGCGGGCGGGGAGGGCGACCAATAACTTGGACTGCTCGTAACTTGGACACCAACAAGTACGAGTATTCCTTCTTACTTTTACTTCTTGCGGTGCTAAGCTTCATGCGCCAATTAAGGCATGCACGGCGCACTATGGGGCGCGGTGCGGTGTACACACGAGTAGTACAATAGCCGTAATGGGGCTTCGTTCGTTATTAGTCCATGATGCTTTACTCGAGTACGGTACGAGTAATCAATCAAGCCATCCAACTTGGGTAAGGGAGAAAGAAAAAAAAAAGGTCGGTTAAGGGCACCGGTTAGACTACTGCATATGGTACCGGCAGTGGGTAAGTGGGTTAGAGAGAGAGGAAGAAAAGAAAAATAGAAACCTTACCAATTATGGAAGCTCTGCGCGATTGAGCGGTTTTGCGTTGGGTAGGGAGGGTGGGAGGGGAAAGAAAAAAAAAAAAAAGATTGAAGCGCATTGACTGACTGGTTGATTGATTGCTTGATTCGTGGGGCGTTTTGTGGGTTCTGGTACTGGTAGGCTGGGTTGCCGGGTGGCTGTTTTGAGGTTAGTAGTTTTGCGAGGTTGGGGATTCAGTTTGCGGGCCTGGGGATCATGAGAAAATTGGCTCATGATGTGCACATGGTGTGTATTTCTGCTACTGTCCTCGACGGGAGAGGAGGTGTTGAGCAGGTTTCTTTTTCTTTTCTTTTCCCTTTCTTATGATCTTTTGGACTGGGGGGGGGGTTTGCCGTGGTGAAAATTATAATATAATAGTTTGATAACAATATTATAATATCTTGGATTACAATGGGTTTTTAATGTGATTGGTCTTCCGATATTTTTGGCATCTTGATAGCATGGGTCATCACTCGACGAATTGGTTGCCTATTGGAGTAATCCCTAATGCACATTAGGTTCTATCTCTGCAACCGGGAATGGCTCGATACATGTGTAGTTGGTCAGTAAGATGTAGTTATTTTATCCGGTTAGGAGATCTTTCGCCGCCCTGAAGGCGTCTTGCGATATCTCTTTCGCACCTACTGTGCGTTGAAACACCCCCTCACCTTCCTAACCACAGCCCCTCTTTCCTTTCCTCCACCAAGCCAATCCCATCCAGCCAAGGCTTCAATGGCCTTTCCATTAATCTCATCTCCCAAACACCCGACAACACCGACTAAAACCTCTGCAGCCCCCTCTCTGATCTTTGGGAATGGGTGATTTAGCATAGCCACGAGCTTGTCAACCACAGCCTTTCTTCCCGATTTATCCTCGTTCATGTATATCCCGCCATAAACCCTCACTGCGGTAGATAATCTACCGTGATTGGCGCTTTTATAGTGTGACTTTTGAACAGAAGGAAACAGGCTTGCAGGAGGGGCGCAGGGAATTGATTCCAGAATCGCCGACATGACCTCTAGTGTTGGGATTGTGGTCCTTTCATGTGGTAGGAGCGATGTTAGGGTACTTAGGATAGGTGTTGGAGAAGTGTTTGATAGAAAGGATAGAAGAGCTGCCCGAGAAGTCTTTAATAGGCTGTCCGACCCTGCACCAGCCGAGAGTACAAGACCTTTGAGAAATGGCGTTGAGAGGCGCGGGTGGGTTAACAGCAATATCAGAGAAGTGAAGTATTCAGGCGATGAGACAGAAGTGGCTGATATCTCTGATTTAAGCACTTCGCTATTGTTAATTAGCGAAATATCTGGGAACTGGTTTGTAGGGGTAAAGCTATACATATTGATGTGCTCAGCTAGATCCTTCCACTTCTCACTCTCGGATATTCTCACAAGTGCTTCACATGCCCTCACTCGAACTCGGTCGAGTCTTTCCGCACAGAGACGAGCTATTCTTTCTAGAATCTGCCACTGGGCATCTTCATTTCCTAAGCGTTCCCAGTGCTCAAATACAGCCTTGACCCCTTCTGAGCGCACCCAACTGCCCACATCACCTCGTGAATCAACCTCGTAATCGTCGAGGGAATTTACTATCGCCTGGATCACATCCTCCGTAGAATCTTCTCCTGATAGAACTCCTCTGGAAATAGCGGTTATACCCGCTACCCGACACTCAACTTCCTCAGAAGCAGCTGCTTTCAATAGCGACGAGACAGTGGCTTTCCGCAGCTCTGTGGACATTGGAAGGGATGGAAGGACTTCACCTAGGGCAAGAATGTACCCACGTTTTTTCCGGTTAGAAGATGCCCGACGATTCCAGGATGAGATCAAGTTGTCTCTAATTGGGGGTGATAATAGAGCTATAAGTTTTCTAGCTGCTGGTACCGCTTGTTGAAGGACTATGTCCTCATTGCGGTCCAGACTTGCTTCTAGTATAGCGATATAGAGTCTGATAACAGGGATTGGAAGAGGATCGAGAAGACAAAGAGCGAAGACAAGACGGGATGTCGATTCAGAAGTTAATTCCGGGCGAAGAAGGGTGTTGAGAAATTCATTTCCCGTGAGCTTTTCGAACGGAGGAAAGAGTAAGGACGATTTTATCGGGGTGAACACATCAGGGGGAATATTAAGAATCGCAGAGGCCAGAGCCCAAGTTGCGCCATGGTATATCTCGACATCGCCTTTCCCATCGGTCTGGATTCGGCGGAGAAGAGATGATACAGTCTCCACCACACGCTCAGCCATTTTGTCGCCTGGGTATTCATCGTCACCGGGCAGGGCAATGTATATCAACTCTCCAAGGCCATCCCCGCTCAACTTCCTCCCGCTAATGTCACCACTACCGATGCCTCTCCACCCTTCTACCATCCCACTAACAATTCCATGCCAGTACCCACTACCCAGCCCTGCTGCCTCCGCTGCAACTTTAACCACGCTTCTCCGGCGTAGTGCAACAGCGTTATAATCTACGACCTGCACAACATTTATACCCTCCTCAACCATTCCGGGATGTCTTCCTACAAGTTCTTGCAAAGCAGCAGATGCAGCTCGCCGGATATTCCCTAAGGGATCCAATGCTCCGGCAACAATCAGCTCAACAGCAAGGACTTGTTGAACGAACCCTCGCTGATCAAAATTGCCTACGGCTTTTAACTCATCAGTTGTATACGACCGGGAAAGGCTCCAGGCGGCATAGCAAGCAGCATCACGCACGTTCCCGCCGGCAGCAAATGTAGTTCTCCGTTGTTCAAACGACAAAGAAGCTATTATGCAGTGAACCACACGCTCTAGCACATCTGTACTACGAACAGCCCTCTCCCGAAGAAATGTGGCAAGTGTAAGTGTTGCTCCGTGCCATTTCTCGGCGTTGACTGCCGTAAGCATCTTCTTCCTATTTGGTCCGTAAGGGGGAGAATAGAATATGTCCTCCTCGTAGATACCCATGACAGCTTCTAGAACCTCCCCAGCCATATCTGGCGGTAATTTTCTCGAAATGACTGCAAGGGATTTCGATGCACCAAGACGCACGGCGGTATCTCTATCACCGAGAGAGTTTAATAGCCGTTCGATTATGTCTTCAACAACATTATTCTCGTTCTTTTCCTCCCCTTCTCTAGTCAAAGATAGTATTGCCACCCATCGGTATATTTTTGTCCCGAGTCTTCTCATGTTAGCGGAGTCCCATTCTTTCCCATCTTCTAACTCAATTTTTTGTATGAGTCTATATATTGGAATGATAAATGGGGTGCTCGCAGTGCGATCGGCTTGAGCCAGCAAGCCAGCCAGAACGGATAGAACGCTAGCCTTTCGGAAGAGGCTAGTGTATGCTGAGTCCGTAGACTCTTGCTTAATTGAAAAAGTGTCCATACACCAGGAAATCATAGCTGGGAGAAGCCCCAACAACCCCATATCCTTCCGGATGCACAATCGAACAATCAAGAGTGATGCAGTTTCGCTCTCGCGGTTTCCCGGTGAGGCAAGATGTGCAATTGCCAATTGAAGGAGTCGCCGAGAGAGGTCGGGCAGCTCTTTGATATCAAGATGCTCTGGAAGCGGTATCGGCTCCGTGCTCGGGGTCGAGATGGTGCTCAGATCGAAGGGGGTAAGGAGTAAATGCGATAACCATAGCAGTAGTATAAACCGAAATTGCCAGCTGCTTGAGGATCCTGTGCTTCGAAGCATAAGTAGATCTGTTAGTGGCTCTAGCCAGCGGGGTTCGTTAGGTAGAAATCGGGTAATAATTTTGGGACCCCGGATCTTGCACAACGTGTAAAGTAATCTGGCAATAGCTTCATGACATGGTATTTCCGTACGATCGAAACCTGTTGATTTAGGCAATGGCGGTCGAGAAGTCTTCGAATTTGGGGTATCGAGGAGGGCTAGGAAAGCGCCTGTAAGCGGCGTGAGAAACGAGTTTAAATATGGGTCGAGAAGTTGGGGAGACTCTTGGAACGGTTCTATCTGCACAGGGTTAATCGGCGCATAAACAGGGCAGTAGGAATGCTCACAAGAATCCTCATGGAGTCAAGTTCCTTGGAGTCAACTGTTGACCGGGGCGGCCCGGTAGAGCCATCTTCGTGCAAAAGGCGGGGGAGGGATTCCTTAAACCGAAGGAGGAGGTCACCTGAGACCTTCTGTAGCTTGACGTCTCGATCTTCTGGTGCATCCATTTTCTCTTTCCTTTGTTTCCCTTTTCTAATTCCTTTTTTTTGGGGGGGGGGATTTTACTGAAGAAGTTTTGGTTGAGGCGTTGATGGTAACGATTAAACGCTAACTGTGCTTATCGGAGCCGCATTTCCACTTCTGCCCGCGGTTACAGTAATCGCCAACCCTCATGGCCTAACTGGAAAAATCATCATTCACAAAAACAACAACATAAACTACGCACAGCTATCCACAACGCCCACCTCCCCATCTCACACGACGCACTCTTTTTAAAAATCTACGGAGAGTATCGCGATTCACCTACCATTATCTTTAACCGTCAATATGAGCGATCTCGACCAGTAGCTCCCTTCATCCCTACATTACTGAACCTCCATTCGCTAACTTAAACCACAGCGCAATATCCCTTCTCCGCTCATGCAAACCAATCCCTGAACCGGCCGTCCGAGAGCTCTGTTATAAAGCTCGCGAGCTACTAATCGAAGAATCGAATGTCCAACTCGTTGACGCGCCGGTAACAATTTGCGGCGATATCCATGGGCAATTCCATGATCTCATGGAGCTCTTTCGAGTCGGCGGTGACGTGCCGGAAACGAATTACTTATTTATGGGCGACTTCGTCGATCGCGGTTTCTACAGTTTAGAGTCGTTCTTGCTTTTGCTGAGTCTGAAGGTGCGATATCCGGATCGGATAACCCTTATTAGAGGAAACCACGAGAGCCGGCAGATAACCACGGTTTACGGATTTTATGACGAGTGCCTTAGAAAGTATGGAAGCGCTAATGTATGGCGGTATTGTTGCGAGGTCTTTGACTACCTAGCATTGGGTGCACTGGTTGTTGGCGCTGGGTCGTTCGTTGGCGACGAGAGTGAAGAATGTGAAGTTGAGGTTGTGGGCGTTGGTGGCGACGTTGTTACAAGGTTGAAGAGGAGAGATGATGGAGCTGGATTGATGAATGCTGCTAACCCACTTCAGGAGGGTAGTGCTGGTGGTGGCGATGACGGGACGGTAGGAGGACCACCCGGCTCTGGTGCTTCGGGAAGTTCTGGGGGAACAAAAGGTGTGAATAATGGTGCTGTTCTGTGTGTTCATGGGGGGTTAAGCCCTCTTGTGGACAGTGTGGATAAAATTCGATTGCTCGATAGGAAACAGGAGGTTCCGCACGAAGGTGCAATGTGCGATCTCCTCTGGTCTGACCCAGATGGTAACTTGTTCCCCTCGCTTCCAACCTTGGGTCTCTTTACAGAAATCTGACAAAACTAGAGATCGATGGCTGGGGCCTTTCTCCCCGTGGCGCCGGCTTTCTCTTTGGAGCTGATATAGTGAAGCATTTCAATCACCTAAACAACCTCACTTTAATAGCCCGAGCCCATCAGCTTGTAATGGAGGGCTTCAAAGAAATGTTCGACTCTAGTATCGTAACTGTCTGGTCCGCACCAAATTACTGTTACCGTTGTGGTAATGTAGCCGCAATTCTTGAGCTTGGAGAAGAAAGGAATGGTAGTGGCGCCGGGATCCAGTGGTCTGCAGCTGCTGGCCGAGGGCAAGGATCTGGTGTGGTCAGAAGAGGGCCAGGGAGACGGTACCGAGTGTTCGAAGCGGCCCCCCAGGATAGTAGAGGAATGCCAGCGAAAAAGCCAGTGGCTGATTACTTCTTGGTACGCGTCTATTCTACGGTATGGGCTGTAGGCCACCTGTTGCTGACATTTTCCAGTAATATCATGTTTAGAGGGTGATGGCTGGGTGTTGGGGGTTTTGGTTGAGCTCTACTTCGTATAGCTTTAAGTCTTTTGTAAATCGGGTTACCTTTTGTCCTATCATTATACATTTCTAGCATTGACACGCCCAAAGCTCTAGACTTTAAGCTTTGCTACATTGTCACCAATAATCACTCGTGAATGCATTGAGAAGGGGTTGGGCTTTGTCCATTGAGTGGCACGTACAAGTAATGAAATGAACAAATTCAAACCCTGAGCGATCTTAGTAAGAACTGCTGGGTTCCACTGAGGCGTGGTTTCGCTTCATCGGCTGTAGATGATGCCTATACGAGCGATACTCCGGATGAGGGGGGTTAGGGATCGGGGGTTTTCGTAGGGGTCAGATCCTGAGCATTTCCATCCGGAAGATGGCAGGATAGTGCCCGGGGGGTCTGCTGCGTGCAGGTGCCCGAGAACTTGGGCAGTGGGGAGTGCCAGTACCACTGCTGGTCTACTACCCTCATGACCACCCTCTCACTTTTTATGGCTCCTAGGTATCCCAGGGTGGATCGCGGCTACTAACTTCATAGAGAGCTAGAAATCGTCCGAAGGAAGTGTGGCCTATCCTACCATAGCCTGGAGCTGTTAAAATTATACCCCGGTGTTTCCCATATCCTACCGATACTCTGCTTTGGGCGAGTGACCACCAGTGAATGCCAATTTTCAGTATCCGCCCTAAGTTAGTAATGACGCGAAGAGACTAAGGCTGGCGCGGGTTTGATGCGTTAGACGTTGCGTCACGGGCAACAGAACCTTGAGAGCTATGATACCGTAATTTCGGGTGCGCCGCCGGCTCACTATTTAAAACTTTTAGCATTAGCCTGTCAAACCTTGATCCGCGGGAAGTTCCGCTGGAAGGCCATCAAACGAGACGTCTTGCAAATCGCGACAACTAACAAGTAAGGCATAGCCTACTGTAGGAGGAGTATGATAGTTATACGAGCGCCAGTGGCAACAAAATCTGATGTTGCCCTTAGATTGTTTGGGCCGCGGTTGAGCATGGTTCTTATGGAGCATCTGCCCGGAACAAAGCTCTAGAAGATGCCGAGGGAAGTACAGCACCCTGCCGCAGCGTATGATACCACATCGCGCTCAATTCCGGCGTGCGCCCTGGAATTGTCGGCAGGAGGTTGAAAGCCTGACTTGCGAGCCTTCTCCATCAGCCTCGCGCCGCAGCTGCGGGATAGTGGCTTATAATAATGGCCGACTGGTGAGTAGCGGGAGCTAAAGTCTTGACGTAAGTTGTGCTTCTGCATTAGAGAACAGTTGTGAAATGAGAGACATCCGTACAGTGTTCGGGAAGGCTTGCTAATTAGATTTGTGTGTACTATAACTTGTACTCGAGTAATGGCTAGAGTGAAACCGCCCCATCAGGCATCTCGTCACAAGCGGGTTGTCATTAACGAAGGTGTTGGCTGTGGCGTCTGCGCTGAGACATTGTGCTGAAGCCCACTGCCGTACTATGATAGCCAATGCCCCCTTTAAGGATGGGTGTTTTCTGCGGGGAGCGAACCCTGGGTACTGTGCGAACAAGACCTACGAAATCGGAGGAAACAAAAAGGCCTTTGGGTGCTCATTGTCCCAGCTCCAATTTCGAAGCAGGATACCGGTAGCAGACGAACCGCCTACAAGCTACCATTCTTGTATCAAAAAGCTTATTCGTATATATACTGCACGCCGCGGAAGGCATTTCCTCACTCTCCAGGAGAGCATTCTACCGGTTTATCGCGACAGCTCGACATGGAAGAGAGAAGCATCCTGGGAGAGCACATTGGAGATATCCTTGCGTTCGCCGACAAGCTAGTAAGTGAATGGGAAGGGCGTGTTGTCCCACAGGTGAGAGAAGCCTTAGCTTCCTCGCAGGAAACAGGTATTTATGCGGCCTTGGAGCCCGCTATCAATTCGATTTGCGAAGTGCTTTGGTCCATCCTTGAACCGGAGCAAAGCGGCAGCACTGTGAGGGTTTTGGATGTTGGTGCCTTTCTCGACGCCTCTTCCCAGGCCACACTGGTTCTCGAAGTGGTCATCGCTCAACAGGAGCGGTTGGCGGGTTTCAAAGGAAAATGGGAAATTTTGTTGGATCAGTGTGACGCGGTCAAGGTCAGACTTGATCGGGAACAGGCGGATATTTCCCGGGGACAGGAGGATACTCGGGCGCAACTGGTGATAGTAAGAAGGAGAATGCAGAATGTTGATAGCAGGCTGAGAGTTAATCGAAACAAAATCAACGAGAGCAGGATGGCGAGGCCGATGGCAGTAGGGGTAAGTGAGGAGTGGATTTGGGAAGATGAGAGGCGGTACCTTTATATTCATGGATCTTGGCTAACAGTCATCGATACAACCATAGCGGGAAGTTGTGGTTAGGATACCTGTGGTTGGGAGCGCAGTACGTCAGGTAGTAAAATCTGCTATTGAGTAAGATATATCCTTCTCGTTTCCCCACCCCTATTAGTAAACATACAAACCCACATGGAACCATGCAAATACTGATACCAATTCCAGCAATATTGTGGGCCCAAATCCTCTTGAGCAGGAGAGGGAAGAGCTCATTATTCAGAACCACCAAAATGAGTTCGACATTACCCAACTGAGGGGCCAGCTCGATTGTCAGCACAGAGCTCGGACCGAACTTGTTGAGTTGGAAAGTGCAATGGAGCAGTTACGTAGACCGGATGGTAGATTGGGTGTCGTACTTACTGAATTTGATCAACTAAACCAGAGACTGGATGAGGAGTGCAATTCATTATCGATCAGAGTCTCACAAATTAAAGGCCATATAGAAGACCTAATAGTTACGGCTACCGAACCTAGTGGAGACCAAATGATGATCGTCAAAGCAGTTGAAGACCTGTTGAGGAATATACAGAGAAGAGACAATAGGTTTTACACTATGCTGGATGGCGTTGAAGATATGGTTACGAGGATTCGGGAGATTCAGTTGAATGAAGAAAGGAGAAGGATTGAGGAACACGCGGAATACTATTCACGCCCAAGCCATGCTTTAAGACGTGGTAATTCATCCGCATACCTGCAATATAATATATCGTGGGATTAAAACTGATGTCTTTTTTTCTTTCAATCTTTAGTTTCACCGCCGCCAAGCATAACCAGTAGCTGTAGCAGGCCAGTATGGTCGGATCGCGGGTATTCTGTGTCAGACTCAGAATCAGTTAGATCATCCGACACTACAGAAGATCTTCTCGACCTCGAAGAGAGCTTTGAGGCAGCGGCAACAGAGGCTCCGCTGATAGACTTTTTTGAAGGGAAAGAGGAAGGCTCTCCCCAAAACCCTCCTGCAATAGAATTACTCCATGGGTTGGACATTTTACCCGGTTTGTTCGGCATCTACTATACCCGTTGAGAGTGGCGAGTAATCTAACAAAGTCTGTAGGGCCTGAATCTGAAGAAGCGGAAGAACAACCGCTTATAGACCTCGATTCAGACCCGCAAGTTAACGACACCAACCCGGCGCCTTCTAGGAGTTTGGGATTCTTCTCAGGTTTGTCGATTTCCTCATACATTATAAGTGAAGCTGACCTTGAGCTTTGAGATATTGGCGGGGAGCTGCTCGATATTCCACCGCTTCAGACCCCCCCTCCCTTGGATGAAGATACGACGGAAGACCTGCCGGCTACACCGGAGCCAGATGGTTCCTCTCTTCCTTCCCCTCAAAGGTTTCCTGATTCAAATCTCCTGCAAGTAGTTTCAGAAGCGCCTCAAATGGAACACATCGACGAGATCCAGACCCAGGAGCCCCTTCCTGACTCGCAAGACGATGCTCAAGCGACCTCTATTCACGGAGAGGATCCACCTAAAAGCATAGTTGAGGACGCGGCTCAGGGAATCGACTCTGAAGATACAGATGAAACTACCGGTTTGTAAATCCTGTCTTTTCCCTCAATCCTGCTAACTCGTACCTCCTCAGTAGAACCACCATCAAATGAAGCTTCAAATTATCAGATACCCATTACTATAGTCGAGGTTATAGATAAACCGCCACCACCACCACCGCCGCCGCCGCCGCCTCCACCACCACCATCTACTACCCCCATAGAAGAGAATCATTGCGATGAAGATGAAGCAGTGGATGATAGTGATGGAGATGGCGATAGTGATATATTCGAGGATGCGCCCCAGACCCCATCAGACATCGTGGACATTTTGGGTGGACAAGAGACGGGAAAATCCAAAGACCAACATCTGGGAGCACATACTCCCTTAGTTATCTCTAGTTCGGTTTGATTTGATCTGCATGTGTCTCTCTTTGAGGATCTGCCAATGGTGCATTTGATTGATATTTTAGGTACTGCTATTTTCTTTGAGTATGTATTTGTTGTTTCAGTCAGCTAGGGAAACCAAGAAAACATCGGCTTAAGCTGGGTCGAACTCTAATAGATGCAATGGTATCCCATAACTCGTAATAGTAAACACCGTATATCACTCCTTAGGTCCGTATACCAGTGAATAACCCGAGTGACAAGAATCACAACAATCGAAATCCGCCCAGGATATCGGGCTATCGGAGGATAGATAGAGCACATTGAAGAATGTCGCATATTTCTGATTTACGATTTTTTTTAAAACTATGTACGAACGGACCAACTTTTACAGTTTAAATGGCATCAACAAACTCAAATCCTCCCCGCCGATCCATATACTGCTTGTGGCCAACCTGAAAGCAACCCAACGCAAAAAAAGGATAGTAATTATACAGACCTGTCTCCCATAATAAAAAACTCACCTTATACCTACCTACTTTTAACCTCTCCCCCCCATATACCCATATCCTTCAATATCCACCTAACTGTACGCCCCCCCTCCTCCCCCAATCTCAGAATTGGCGCACAAAAAGGATCCTTATATACCAATTTTATATACCTTCCGTTTCCGACATGACAACAGGCAAAAAAAAAACGAGTGAGAATATCAGATCTTGTCAAGTAAATCAAAAAGAACGCTGTTTTCGACATGACAATTCCCGCTACCCATGGCCTCAGGTGGACATATCTCGTTGACCAGCTGGCCGCCGTCCTGGGGGTGTAATTGGTGTATGAATGTTTGTGCGAGATGGCAGGGTGTCGTCGAGGAGGTACATGGGTTCTGGTACTGTTGTTGCTGTTGTTGCTGTTGCTGCTGTTGCTGCTGTTGCTGCTGCGGGTAACAACAGTTTGATGATGATTGCGGGGAAGCATTCTGTGGTGGAGCCGGGTAAAATTGTTGGTAACCAGTGGCTGCGGCGTTGGCGGGGGGGTATGTCGGGGAGGTGGCAGTGTATGATTGTGAGGTAGGAGGAGGCGGGGAAGAGAATGTGTAGTAGGGGTTTAATTGTGGCGTGGATACTGGAAGTGCGTAGGTGGGAACAGCGGATGTAGGTGTTCCGCTAGGTGATGGGTAGTGCTGCGGGGTGAATGCGGACGAAGGCGGAGGTGGCGGTGGGCGGTGTATTGGGAGTTGTAATACGGGCGAAGGCGGAGATAGAGGAAGTTGGGATGAACACTACCACAAAGGCGCTTGAGTTAGCCCATAATTCTCGCTTCTTCTCGATAGCGCTAAAAATTGGCCAGTTGAGGATGGATGGTATGAAGATAAGTCAAGACTGGTAAGTGGGAGGGGGGGATAAAATGATTCAAAGTCGGAGGACATGATTGAGCCAGTCGGTAGGAAGGGAAAAAAACTTCTTTCTTTTTCGTTCTTTGTTCTCCTCTTACCTTTGGGGAAGCACATGTCCCGGAGCCCGTCGCCGGTGGGCATGAAGTCTCACTGCAGCGTGATACTCTGTCACCGGCATCTCTCGCGGCCAACATTCCTGTAGAATTCCTTCTATCATTGAATCTTTCATCCCCCAACTTTGCAACGGGAAGCGGCTCCCCACCACATGGCCTTCGTCCGAGAACCTTCATAACTCCCTCGACTGCCGATTCCCCATTAGCGCTCCCCTCCCCGCCCTCCCTGATGACCCGATTAATCTCATCGTCCCTAACGCCTCTGCTTCGCAGCATCTCTCGTAGTAGTAGGTTCTCGCGAACAACCTTCTTGGCCGCATTCTGGATCTCAACATTTGCCTCTACTCCCGCTCTCTGGCAAGCTTGGAAACGCGCCTCGAGGGACGCCAGGTACTCCTTCTTGCGAGCCCTGCTGCGACGCTGGTTCTCTCGAAGGCGAGAGGCGTTGTCCTTCGTGCCAGTCGCCGTCGCATAGGGAGGTGAAGTTTCTGAGGGTGACGGAGTGTGTATGGTGTTGCTCATGGTGGATGTTATCGTGATTCCAGAACAGAAGGGGGTTGAATGAACTCTTTTCCTTTTCCTTTTTTCTTATTTCTGCTTGTTTGGACTAGAGACAGCATACCGGTATTGCGTTGCCGTAGAACAAGGGATCAAGAAGTTTGCACTCTGAACTACGTTCTCCTGTAACATCCTGGGGAGTGAGAGTGGGGGGAGGTTTCCCAAGGGGGGGGATTAATTGCGTTAGTCAGCCCCCACACTGATGAGCTTTTTTGCCTCTCTTTTTTCCCTCTCCCCCTTCGAGGGGGCAGAGTGGGGATATCGACCGTGAACTTCGGGGATGTCTGTCTTAGTCTACCGGTATGTGCTTTCCAAGACATGTCTCGTCTCCGGGCCCTTTTTTTTTTTTTTCACTCTTTCCTATTCATGTGCTACCGGTTCCCTTTCACAACCCCCGGGACCTCTCCACCACACAGAAAGATTGGGCTGGGCGGCAGGGATAAAAGCAGAATTTGGGCTATGGAGATCCCTCTTCATTAAATATCACATCACATCCCATTGATTGGGGTTAGTAACTGTTATTAGTATTGTTATACCTACCTGCGAAAGGGTCCGAAAATTCACCACGGCAGCGTATCTTACAGTACCCGAGTACTGCATAAGAGGGTTGTTGTACCTTACTGTACTCGCACATTACACTACCGTACTAATGTTAGTCTAGATCAACGCAGCGTGGCAGCCATTATTGCGCATTACGACAGGAATATTCTAGTTAATTTACCTATCAAAGCTCTGTGTTGGCTTTTTTTTTATTTTTTTTACCCCTTTTTCAACTCCCAACAGAATTCAGAGACGAAAAACAGGTTCAAAGATCTTTCTGTTCTTGATACCGGTATCATACCGTATCATACTGCGTCCCCCAGCAACAGGTACTACACCACAATATTGTACCAATCAATGAATCAGTATTAGTTCCCCACACTCCACCCTCTCTCCAGACGTAAGTATTACGTGACACCAAACCCCCCCTCCCCCCCGCCAGTCGAATAATTTATTGACCTACGCTTCTTAGCAGAAGAAGAACGTGGTATGATACATCCTTAGTATTCTTAGAGAGTATCATAAAAATAAAAATAAAAAGAGCAAAAAACTGTCTTACCAGGCTGGAATGGGTCGTCTCGAGCTTCACCGCCTGACCGAATTAGGTTGTGGACCCTGCACTCTGGGACCAACACAGAGCCAGTTCCCCAGCGGGCAAGAGGTACGAGTACGAGTACAAGTACGGTACTCGTGCACTATGCCCGGAAACAGGGATTCGAAAATAATTACTTTTATGGCAAAAAACTCGTGGCCGCCGCCCGAACGCCCACACAAACCCACGACCCCGTTTTCGGATTCTTCCTGCCTACTACTATAGGAGGAGAGAGATACTTGAGCACTTGCACATCTCGGTATATTCCACTCCCCAGCGTCGTGTACAGCACGGTAGACTCTCGTCACCCCAGCCCTCTCAAGTGCCGCTAATAACCCAGCAATTCGTTTGCTGGTATGATACTAGACAAGGCCAATGCAATAAGGGCACTCGTGGCCGTAGCCGCGGTGGCGGTGGGGGGGCTGCCGGTAAGTTACAAGCATCATACTTAACAGGAAAGACTCTACCCTGGAATATCCTTCTCGGGTTCTGCACTCTGACATGAATCAAAAGATTTACCACTCGAGCATGTACTAGGATTGTACAACTAGCACGCTCCTTCCAGTTAGCCAATACCGTCAACACGGTATTACAGTAACGCACAATTTGTTTCCTTTTGTTAAGTGAAGAATCCCCTTGCACGAGCATCGAAAATGTGGAATGCCACTCAAAGTACCGTAAGAGCAAGAGTACTAGTACTCTTGTAGCGGGCAATAAAGTTGGAGAAACCGTTGTGGTTAACTTTGACAGTCACGGCAAGAATTGGCCAATGGCTTGGACCACCACCAGCAGGGAGGGAGGAAGCAATGGCCCCTTGCCCTATGACTGGCAATTCGAAAAAAATTTCCTGGACCCCACCAACCCTTACATTGATTGCACCGCGCTCACTGGGCCTTGCACGTCCTGCCTGCCTGGCCTGCCCTTGCCTTTTTTTGGCAGGAAGCGGTACGATAATCAATCGATCGCCCAATTTCGGGCAAGGTTCGAGCACATGGGAATTCAAATCGGCGCCACCATTTCTGGGGATATCAAAAACTAAAGGCTAGACTAGTCTACCGGTAGATAAAGTACTCGTACGAGTATCATACTCGAGTACCTTTTATCTCCTTCGCCCCAACAAAACCAAGCCTTATCCATCCGTTGGATGGGAAGAGAAGAAGATTTGCTGTTGCGGTGGCGATGTCTCTGGATTATTAAGGGACTCCTAAGGCTTTTCCTCCCGAGCCATCCCTCGGCGCTTGGAAATTGTGCTACGAGTGCAAGTACTAAGGCAAAAGAAGGGGGTAGCCTGAAGGGAAGGAAGGAGACAGGAATGTGTCTTTCCTTTTTTTCTCACCTTTCCCACAAAGTCATCTGGTAAATTGAGGCAACCTGAGAAAAGTACGGTGATGGAAAAACGAAATAAGGATGATGGGAACTGTGCCATGCGAATGAGTTACCGGCCCAACCAGAGGATAACTAGGCACCGGCTCCTCTACCCACATCATCATCATCATCATCATACGCCAATTCTGCAGTGGTATCCCGTCTCGGCAGCTCAAGTGTGTCCATAGTATAATACGGGAGCGTTAGCCATTCCTGGGGCCCCTCAATCAATTTCATTATCATAGCTCGGCTCGGTCGCTCCGGAATCATAGAACACACAGTGTTATCATCCATTGGCCTCCCATTTTGGATAGAAAGACGTTCAGTTCTAAACTAGTGGCGCACGGCAAAAGAGAGGGAAAAAGTACAGTGCCAAGATTTTTATTTACCCGTTGCAGGCGAATATGTACCTGAAAGTAGGGATTTGCAAAAAAAAATCAAAAAAAAAATCAGTATATTATGATATAATATCATATAACCGGTACAATTATGAACACCCATACAAATCCACAGTACAGTACTGTAGTCTACGAGCACTTCCTACCCGCTCGAACACATCCTTTGGGGAATTCTCGAGAAGGAAAAAAAAAATTCGTGGGGGACTTGGCTTGGCCAATGGAGGAGATTGGGGGAGGGGGGTGTTATTGTTCGCACCATAGTCTAGAGTAGCACTTGCACCTCATAAATTTTTCAGTATGATAAACCGGCAAACTACCACAACGAACTGGCAAAAAATTTTCACCAAAAAAAGTGATGGGAAACAATCCGCCAAGACCGACATATTCGGATGTGATTTCAAAGGGCTCGGCGCGCAGATTTCTTGATTCTTTCGGGATTGGCTTGCGCCAAATTTGAATCGTGCTTTGAGTTATGATGAGTAAAAAACCGACGGAGAAATTACTTGTAGAACAAGACCTAACCCACCCCGCTTTGAACAAACGCTCGGATGAAATAAAACAGTTCCTGACATGGCTATTAAAAACATCCGGCAGGTCACTCACTACTGTATTGCGGGGACGGGGTGATCAGACGGTTACTATCCTTTGGCTACTACCCAAAAAGGATGCCTTCCTGTGGGGGAAAAACTGGGGGTGAAAAGGAAAGGTGAAAAAAAAATAAAAAAATAAAAGAAAAAGGAAAGAAAAAAGAATTGAAATGATACATCATAGAACTGAATACAATCCGAAACGAAGCCAATTAGTTAACTCCCGGCTCGCTTGCCGACATCCCGCGATTAACCAAGGTTAAGAAAAAGCAATCTCTTTGACCATCGGTTTTTTTTTTCTTTCTTTTCTTTCTTTCGCTTTTTTCCCCATCTTTTTTTCAATATTTTTTTTTCCCCCTCTTACGAGCGAGAGAGCAAACGTTTAGAAGTTACAACTGTTTCAATGCCTTGGCTTTGTCAGGAGGATTGGGGGGGGGAAAGCAATTAATCGTTGCGTAAGTTAGAGAGGAAACTCCGAAATCGCTCAGATTTAGCCTACTGGGAATATTTCCCTATTTCCGAGAAATGTGGCCAACTAGCTTGCTAAGTTAATCACAAGTTTTCTTTTCTTGGTTTTTTCTTTTCTTTTCTTTTCCTCTCTTACCCTTTTGTGAAGTGTGAGTGTGAGGAGCTTTCCGAGGAGCGAGGCGCCAAACGACCGGAATGGGGCATTTGGGGTCTCGAGGGGCTGCAAGAGGTTTCCTTGGTATGATACTGTTATGATGGTTCTTAAAATTTGGACCGCGCGAGTAACTATTTCTAACCTACCAAGGAATGACTACCAATGCCAGTTGAAGGGACGACACGGGGTCACTTCTTTTCTAGAACTCGGCTCCTTCCGATTTTTCCTTTATTTCCCCTTTCCTCCCCGGTCAATCGCATTAAACATCATGCTCTATCACTCGGTACACACAATGACGTCTGCCGATCATGTTACCGGCGCCGGTGCTCTTCTAGCGGGGAAGGGAGACGGAGCTCGTGGCAGAAGTAAGGGGAAGTGGGTGGGGGTAAGGGAGGAAAAATGTGATCGCCGATGACAGCCATATACCCGAGGGAGGGGGGAAAGTTTGAGCGAGTTGTAAATTATTGCTGCGAGAGTGATCGCGGTCATTCGTGAGATGCGAGTATGGGGGGAACTGAATCAAAGGGGAAATTTTGAGACTTATTGTTATCATTTATGGGAGATTCGGGGCACTGCGGGTGGTGATGTTGGTCTTCTTCATGATAATGGTGATGTCTTGATTTCAGTTCGAGCTTTGGCTTTGTTGGAAAAGATGGGGGGTTGGGGAGGTTATCGTCAGCTTGAGACGTGGCAGTCTAGTATGCTTGTATAGGTATCTCTCCGGGTTGGTTGTTACTACTGGAGAGTGTGTATTGCGTCTAGGGTTTGCCTTCAACAAGTCTTGATCCCTAATAGCATGGTATCTGACACTCACACTCGAATGCTATAATCTCTATCCAATGTTGGTGTGCTCTTTTTGGTGTTCTCTTGGTGTTCACATTGATTGTTTAGGTCATTTCTGATTTTCCATGGTGCTAGGATAACAAAGCCTAGTGATTGAGCAGCCAACTATGGTAAACCCTCCAATGATATCGTTGGAAATAAGCCAATGAGCCTTGCTCATTGAAAATGTGCGTGGAGGAGGCAAACTGTGCTTCCGCTGTCTTTTTCATTGTCTTACAAGCATTCGGGATCGATAGGAGACCCCCAAAAACGTTACGGAAGGTCCTCCGTCAAACGAGAGGAAAGAGTCTGCGAAAAAAATGCGCAAAAATTTTTTTGAAGTAATCTCGGGTCCCTCATGCGCCATTTCTGGAATCCTCCGCATAAGCTATGTGATACGGAGGTTGTGGGATGTCCTCATTTTCGCTATGCACCATCAAAAGCCAAGAGGAGGTTGAGGGAAAAGAAATATCGATAAATAAAGAAAATAGATCAGGCAGGTAAGGAAAGCATCGGAGAAAGGGAGAAGGGTGGAAATATGATCCAGCTGGGCATCCCTCCGCGATTTGCGTGCACACAAACAAATAAGCTTTGAGTTCCCCCATGGTGGCAATTGTCCCTCAGTTAGCCTTGCTCCTTCCCCTTCGATTCCACCACCTCTGGCTCTAATTCCCTCCTGAGCCTGTCCCTCGCCTCCATCAGCGCCTTCCCCAACAGGTTCATACCCCACTTATCCCTCTTTCCAGCATCAGCATTCTTGGGCCCAAAGCCAATACCCCAAATCCTGTCCCGGGGGCTCGCCTCGACCATCTCCCGATCACCCGTTTCCAAGAGCCGGCTCGGATCCTTCTTGAACTTCCAATAACTCCCCTCTTCCACAATCCGGGACCTATTCTCCGCCCACGTTACATCGGTGAAGTTCCGGACTTTACGGCCTAGGGCGCGCTGGGTCGAGGGATTCATGGTTTTCATTATTTCTGCCGCGGTATCTGGGTCGTTGAATAACACCGCTTTGCTATACATCATGTATCTGTGTGGTACCAAAAGATTACCCTCAGAACACTGATAAGGGTTCATGTGCTGCAGGGATAATAATGTACGTACTGCTCTGCTGTACCGAATCTCATTTGTTCCCCATCGAAAGGAGCGGTAAATTCATCCTCGTACCATTGGGAAAAGATACCGAATGGTACCTCGTGCGGTTTCCAGAAATATACTGGTCCCGTCCCATCATCATCTACCGGAGTTGGCGCGGCTGCGGCTGAAGACGAAGATGGAGCTTTTGATGAACTGGCTTTTCTTCTAGGTTTTGGAGCTGTGGGTGTCAAGCTGGTCAACTGCTGTCCTTTAGATCTTCTAGTAATTCGAGGCATTGCAATGGATTGGGCGGTTGGTATGTGGTTCGGCTTGGTTCTTAACTTCAAGCGTCGTTGAAATAGATTTTATGCCGCAAAGTCTAGCTGGTGGGGAGTCATTCTCGTGACTCAAGTTCCCGGGTTCAGCCTCCTTGTCTACTGTCGCACACGCACCAAGTCGTTTTAATTTTGGTTCCTTGATAGGCCAATTGGGTCACACCATGTTCGACTTCCGTAGTCTTCCGTTATTAATTTTTACTCTTTTGTTCCCCCATGAAGAGCAGATTTCTGATGTTCATGGAGCAGTCAATCCAGCACCATAGCACAAGTGCCGTGACTTGCCGTGCAGTACGACTTCTTGGGCAGATTTGGCAGCAAGGCGAGTTATGGGTACAAGCTGCGGTACAGTCGTCAACGGGGGGGGCACGACGGAAACCGGAGGGTGAAAAACAGGGATCAGCAACAAGCATTTTCTTGTTACCCTACCTTAAAGAATTCACCATCTTGCCTGCGGAATAACCCTGTTAGTCACCCTCTGGTCCCCCCGTTGGAGGCTGCTGGTATCACAAGGTTCATGCCGAAGTCTTGGCAAAGAGCCTTGGGCATGTCACAAACTAGTGAACCCCCATCCCGCCCAGCCAGCCCTTCCCTCCACCCTCTCTACCCCCATCCAGGCCCGTCGAAGAATCTTGAGTGAAAAAAAAAAAAACAGAGTAAAAGGACTCTCGGCTTCCCTAGTCGGAACACTATACCCGATAGCTCGGGAACACCCGGATATTCCGGGTGTGCGCGTTTGGGGCGGTACTCGAGGACGGTACCGGTAAGTTACTTTCCCGGCTCCAATCATTTTTGTCTCGGTGGCTGAAGTTGTAACTTCGGGGTCTGCCGTGTCATGTACTGTACCCTTGGTTATGTAAGCTAAGTACCTGGTAGATTAGGATGAGGATTTTTTTGTCAACGAGTTCAACATTCAGGCGAGTTGCCGTGTGCCTTGTACGGCACCATATTGACGGCACAATTGAGTCAAACAGGTATTTTCTTTTGCTCAATCGTTCCTCATGGGTATGGATGCCAGAAGCATACCGGTACTCGAGTACTATCAAGGCAATTATAGGTCTCGGAATCGCTTTATGCCTTGCTCAGGATGTGAATATGTACAGTACCCCGGGAGGTGTTCCCTAACCTCATTTAAAGCTTTGTTTATATTGCGAGTGGGTGGTATAGTCGGCCCTTAAGTCATGCGAAATGTGAGCAAGGAGGGGGCGGAGGCCATGGAGCGGCCCGATGGCCCGACTCTTAGCACGCGCAGTATCTAAGCAACACCTCGGACCCAATTCTCCGCAGCCTTGTTGGGTTGCAGCAAAGCTCCGATGCTGGTACTTGCGCTTTGCTTATCCAGGTTCTCTTTCGCTTCAGGCCCGGGCGCGCAAGCGAAACTCATGTTTTTCATGCTTTGAGGAAATTTCAGGTAAGCAGACCATTAAGTTCTGTGCTGGGGGGGGGGGATGTCGTTTTTCATTTATTTTCTGGTGCTTACTGTGCTGTGATAGGATTTGCGCTACGCTATGTTGGCCGTTTGTCGTTTCTCCAGATCCCCCATTACAGTACCGTACCGTAGTTCCAAGTGATACCCAGGGCTTTATTATTACTATTACTATTATTATTCGGACGAACCAGGGGAGGATGCCTGTAGAAGTTTTTTGCTGGTACGGTACTTGTGTGTACGGTCTGTGTGCACGATATACCGGTATCCCATACTTGTCCTGTACGAGTATTAGTGGGAGGTAGCATAGGAGGAGGATTTACTGATTGTGGGCTTTGCATGCGAGGTCTTGATTTTGCCGGTAAAATATACCTATTCGAGGCTTATTGTTGTTTTTACTTGACTTGGTGGGGCCGGGGAACCGGTGGGAGAGTGCCGGTAGGCTTTTGAACAGCGGTGTGCAAGGTAGGGAAAATAGCAATCGCAGTCACCTTAATGATTTGGGCAGTGATACGAGTAGAACTTGCTTACCTCTTTATTAGACTAACTGGGACAAACTCTTGCCCCGAGATATTAGTGATCAAGTTACGTAGGGGACAAGAGTGCAACTTGTGATGGCTGTAATCTGTTAGGAGTAAAAAAATATGGAAGAAGGATCTCGGCTCGTTGCCATAACTGACTATGGGAAACTGATAATACGACCTACAAGTACCGGTATGCGATGGTGAGTACAGTACACGGTCCACATGCGGGGGAAGCGCTTGTAATACGAAGGATATAACGTAACCTGCTGAATTGTCCTCTCGCACCGTAATAGGGATGTGTAAAACCAGCATAATAATAATAATCATCCGCACTCACTCGAACGGGGAGGTGCGAATGGTCACTTTGCATGATCATGCGGCACATACACAACCACGGGCACCTTATCAACCAAGGTATCGGTCTGCTGCCTTGCAGTAATAATACACACCACCCACTTGCGCGGCGGGCTACAGTACTCCTACTGAATGCAAAAAAACCCCCAGCACCGTTATAGTAGCTGGATCCCCTAATCTTTTGTTTGGGAGCCTCGGGATTCCAGGAGCGGCAGGTGTCAAAGGTAGTAGGATCGCCGGGCAAACACGAAGCAGACTAGTTCTGGAGCTTAGACTATGCCTTTCGAGACCCCCTTCCGCGCCGTTATCGAGCCCGTGTAGCATAGTAATCGCGTAACCGGAATCATTGCGTCCACCGGACACTTTGGGGTTCTTGTGCTGCGTCGTTTGGCATTCGTATTATGCTAGCATTGCGCTCCTGGATGCATATTGGCAGGCACCTTTTCGCTAGCTCTGACCCTGTTCAAGTTTGTCTGGGTTGTACTTTATGGTTCGCCGTGATATTCATGGATATGATGAAGCTTTCTTTTTTTTTTTTTTTTGGAAATCGGAAATCGGTGGGGCGTCGTTTCGGGGTATTTAGGGTATGATACTAGACCGGCGATTAAATTCGTTCGATGGAAGAGTTCTAGAAGGGTGGGATTTTTTTTTTTTTTGAATATAGAACGGCGCCGCCAAAGGTACTAGCTAATTCAGAGACAGAAACGAGAAATATCTATCTTCTCGAAGGTTAGAACTTTGCCAAACCGCAGGAAAACTCTATGATACCAAGTCCATGTGGGGAAACTCTGGAAAAAAAAAAAAAAAAAAAAAGAGATGTTCCATGCCTAGTGAACGTGGTCTCGGGGGAGGCGGAGCTTCCAGTTGCATGTTTTGAGGCGACTTAAGGAACGCTTGGGTGGGTATGATAGAAAATATCGTATCATACCAAGAAAATCACGTTATATTCACGATTTATCATTCGGATATGGTGGTTGGTTGTTCCGCCATCAGATTTAGGTTGACGAGCGTGGTATGATACGGATTTTCTTCTCGTTGTCACTACTCTGTGGCGGCCAATGTTGGTTCAGCTTTGCTTCCTTCTGCGCATCGTATTGCCGTTCGCGGTATGATATCTCTCCTTGCTGTGCGTGGTCCGTTGATTCTCGATGCTTTCGCGACGATCTTGTCGTTGGCCTCTGATGGCGCTTGATATGGGCTGGGTCATAGTTGGTATATTGGTCCTAGGTTGACTTGCTTACCCTGGATCTCAATTCGCAAAGTTATCGACATTTCATGGAGAGCTCAGTCATAGAGTTGGAAGACATATAACCCGGTTTGCTGGTTAATTATGATATTCCCTTGATTAAATATTAGGATCTGATTACGAGCAAAAATTTCAAAGTTGCTATCAGTGGTCCTCATGGGAAAGGGAAGAATAGCAGTGTTTGGGGATGAGAAAAGAAAAACCATTCTGTTGCGATCCGATTTACACTGAGCAGTGGGCAAAGCTGGGTGAGTTGATCGACTAGAGAGTGCAATGCCTGGAAGCCCTCTAAATCCCGATGTAAGGCTCAAGAGTAAGAGCCTGAGCATCGTAAATAAAATGATACCTAGGGAGTAAGTGCCTAAGCTACCGACGGTCTGTATCATAAGTCGGAACTACACAGCGCTCTGTTCTATCCCTCCTTAAGAGCTGCAGCAGGAGGCGTACTGATATCTGTTGTTGTCTGAAATGAGTTATATGGAATGAGTCGTTTTTTTTTCTTCTGAATGAAGGCTGGTATTGAATGGTAGCTTCGCTGGACTAGTAAATTTGTACTCGTTTATATTGGCTCTTGTTGTTATTATTCTGTTCTGATAGAAATTCGACATACTATAATGGTTGACTTTGAATTTCATCTGTCACTTGCGGTGGGCTTGATAATGGCGTATGATAGGTGTTGGGTTGGGTGTGTGGCAATGTGGCTTTGATTCGTGATACTAAAGCCACGCTAGTTTGATACAGTGGACAAAGAGATCTCCGGGTGCGGGGGAATTAGCAATTCAAAGAACACAAAGCACGTCATCTCCATCTTGCCAGATAGTTCGAACGCTGTCCCATGATATCTACTGAGTTATCTAAGGGGGTGTTTGGCAACCGTGGTTTATAGCGTTTTGTAGCGAGGAGTTTGTAAGGTAGAGTTTTTCGAACCCTATAAATATGAAAAAAAATATACAGTCGTGTAAGAAACCATTGGATTGTTTTTACTATGATAACATATTATAGTCTCCTCTTATTTTCTTATTTTTCAGTGCAAGGCCAAAAAAAACCACTTGTTTTTCTTTTCTTTTCTTTTCTTCCCGTTACCATACCTTATAAAAGTTCAGTGAGTTGTTTGACAATGCATATGATACCTTATACAAACTGCCGTTTGGCACACACCTTACAAACCGCAGTTCGGGAAACCTTATATAAACCACGGCATGCCAAACACCCCCTGGTTGGTTTCGCTTTTTTTCTTTCTTTTTCCCCTTTCTCTTCCCAACGCAGGCGTCCTCCTCCTTCTCCGGGGGAAATTTATATAAGAGAGAGGAGAGACCTGGAGGGAGGGCTGGAAGGGCTGTCATGGGAATTTCCGGAAACAAAGGCCTTCGACCGGCTAGAATGCCCATACCCCGAGAAACCTGGCTCGCGCGGGGGGGCTTTGGAAGCGGACGGCTCAAGAAATTTTTGGGAAATGGTTTTGGACTACCGAATGATGCCCCATGATGCGGGAGGAAACAGCTGGTATGATAACCGGTCCTTGGAGCAGCGGTATGGGAGTTAACTTGGGTTTTCCGCTAACAATTTTCAACAGTGCGGGAGAGCGCTCATGCGAGAGGATAGAATTTATGCGTTAGGTTGCAAGTTATTATATTTCTATGGGAACTATATGGCGGCAATATCACAACAGAATGATCCGTGCAGGTATCATACAGCAACTTCAACCCGTGGGTATGATACAACGCCAAAAACTCCCCCTCTATGAAAAAATAACAACCTTCAACCCCCCCACCTTAATTTCCCCCCCAAACCTCCTTAAATCCACCCCGCCGTCCTTTCCCCTCCCTACTGTGGGAATACTACAATCCTTGTAGAGCGCCAGGCTAACAATCATCCTACCCGCATGCGCGCACTCGATCCAACTTTTGTAGTTCCCGCAGAGGCCAATCTTCGCGCCCTCGTACGTCGCGATAGTGGTACATTTTGTGCCGAACATGTTTCTCTGTTGGCATCTTCGGCCGGGGGGGCTGGCAAGGAGGAGTTTCGCTGCCGCTATTACCGATACTGAGGAGGGGGATGAGAGAGAGGTTTGGCAGAGGGGTATATAAGGTGGCGCTGAGACGTGGACCTCTGCTGCCTGGGCTGTGGAGGGCCCGGAGTTATGGAGGAGGGATACGAGAAGAAACAGTTGGAAAATTATAGAGAAGAGCATTATGGAGGTTTGTGAGAGGGTGTTAATAGGAGTGTGCGTGACTTGTAATACATGGAAGTTATGGGGAGAATGGAGTGATTTTTCGACCTCTGCTCTGTATTTATACTGCCAATTCCACGGTTTGCAGACTTGAATTGAAAATGCTTAGTAAATAGTAACTGAGATGTTCTGTTTGACCATTGGAAGCGGCGGTGTCTCTTCCATACAATATCTCACACGTAATATTTATATCTTGAAACATAAAACCCTCCTTCACCACTACTCACCTACCACCAGACATCATCACCCACTACACACCTACCATAACGGTGAGAAAAGGAAGAAAGAAAGAAAAATGACCCCCTCGATAATCCAAAAAATCGACCTCCTCCTAGCCCTAACCCCAACAACCCAGAACCTAAACTTTTTCACAAACCTCCGCTCGCTAATCCACTCCATCGACGGGGTCAGCTATCGAGCGACCAACCGAGAACTGCAAACCCGGCTCCAAAACTCCAAGGCGAACATCTCCGTCCGGACCGACGGCCTCAAGGCCACCCGGAAATTCCGTGAATTGCTGGCCGACCTGACGCGCTCGAGTGCGAAGGGCAACTTGGACACCGCGCTGGGGCGCGAGGCAGTTAGGGACCTCCGCGATGAGAGACTGTTGAGGACGTATAGGGAGGCGAGACTCGCCGGGTTGCAGAAGTTGGGGATGTTGGTGCTTAAGAGGAAGACTGTGAATGAGGAGATGAAGAAGTTTGGAAGCGCTGGAGGAGGGAAGGAGGCGATGCTCGTGTTGGCGCTTGTGGCGTACGTGCTCGACAGTATGATTGCCGAGGAGGAGGTTGGGATTATGCTGTTTGATCTGGAGGTTAGGAATAGGGAACCGTTTGCTGGGGTGGGGCCGTAGTGCTGTGGATGGTTTGTTGTTTCGGTGTGGGTTTTCCGGAGGGTCTGTCATTGGCTGTCACTCTCGTGTCTTCATCTCATGTCATCACGGTGTAGAAAATAACTAGGAACGCCTAAAAAAGTCGGAGGAAATAAATGTTACATGTGGCATAGATATCTTTAAACCTCAATGACACTGGGAAAAAAAGGTTTTCTTATTCAAGTTAGTTTGCTTAAAATAAAATAATTAAAACCATGTACAACCACTCGATACTCTCTAGTCTCACTTCTGTTGCGGATCCCATCTGTGCTTCTCACAGATAGAATTGTGGAGGTATGATACCTAAGTGCCTCTATCATAGTAAGAATTGCACCAGCAGGTACGTAGGCCATTAGTACCCGACGATGGTATACTAAAGCATATGAACCCATATCATTCCTAGCACCCTTTAGCCCTACGGGTATCGGGTATGGGTATAAAATTTTCCTGCTGTTAGACCACTATTATGGAGCTATTCCAATAGTACTAGAGTAGATGTAAGCACATAATATTAGGACTTTAGACCTCTTTGCAGAGAAGGATATTAGTACCCGTTTATATGCAGACAGTGGGTAAACCAGAGTTGCTAATACAGGAAACACTTATCCAGGTATGATATTCCTGGGAGAACTGAGGCTATTGTTAAGGCAGAGGATGGTGTACTAAAAAATATTAAACCGAGAATTTTTATATAGTTGTTTTTTCCCCACCTATCTATCCTATACAGATTTCTATATCTCTACTGTAAGTATCATATCTTAGTTCATATGGGAGTTGATGTCAAGAAGCGGTATGCGGGGAGCCGTTGCTGTCAATCGTGATAATAATCATATTTATCCCCGAATAGTGCAACCCGCCCCCGCCTTGCATGTACTGTACTGTACAGTACAGCACAGTACCCTCCCTCCCAGGCTCTCAAAAGCAAGCGTTTGGCACAAGCCTGCCGTGAGTGAGCAGAATGATCCGAAGGTTTCATTTTCTCGGTGGCCTTTGGGGGGGCAATGTATTTTATCTCCATCAACACCTGTTGAACTCTGATAGCCTGAAAACCTCAATCTTTGATGGGATTCACTCTCCCCTTAACCCAACGGAATGCGCTGGTACAGTACTGTACTTGCACCAAGTGATTGGATTACTGGGTTCTTTGTTCAGCGTGAGAGCTTCCCCCCCAACAGGTGAGGGCTACTGTACGATCTTGGCAATAAAATTCGTAGCACCTCCGTTTTGCACCAAAAATGGCTGGTTTTAAATACTCACACACAACTCATCCAAAAGCAAGATAGAATTAACGGAAGTGATGTCATAATGTAGGCAATTACCCAGACCCTCTGGGTAGAATTTATGGGAATTTTCTCACTCCACAATGATGGTTGAGAGCTTAAGGGTCTAGATTGGATACTGTTGTAATGTACTTTTTGTATGGCAAACTCTGATAAAGTTGCAAGTACAGTACTATTGATGTTGTATCATTATTTCTGGTATTGCACCATGGACATTTACTAACTGAGCCTGTCACTTATGGAAGGTAATACCTGGATGGCCCTATATACTCTAACCGTTTTTTTCCCCAGAGCGATGGAGCTGTGGTTTTGCAATGTGAGAACACCCATGTTTGGTGTGGAGTAGGTGGGGGACCACGAATTTGTTGATCCTTTCTTGTCGAGGTCATCCCTAGAGATTGGAATTTGCTGACTGCGTCTATCCATTTCCGATTCTGGTACTGTACAGTACTCGTACAGTACTCAAGTACTCGTAGGCTACAGGGACCAGTATTTCGCTCAATAAATAAAAAATCCCTGCACACATCTGCTTTTGTTAAGAGGACCGACCATCATGACGTCCGCTGACGGCGCCCAGGGATTCTCTTCAGGTTTCTCGATAACCACCACTTCGGAAGCCGAGCTTTTTGGTGTAGGGATTCGCCGAGATGGACGATCTCACTACCGATCATGATCTCGAGTTGTTAAAAAGGGTGCCATGTCGCGCGCTGGGGTTTGGGAGAAGCGTTGACCCCGCCCGTGCTGTTTGCGGATGCCCTTCGTTTTTTTTCTGAGGCAAGATAATACGCTTGTATCCGCCAGTCGCTCCATCGATTTAACTATCAATCTTTTTTCCTGCCTACTAGGACCTTTTGCGTCCGGTTAGTGGGTTTGCCGTGCGATATGACTGCCGCCCGGGCGATAAAGTTTGTTACGCTTATTTTTCGGTTACTGCAGCTGCTGTTGGCAGCGTATATTGTCGGTGTCGCGGGTTATCACACCTGGGAATTCGCGACGAATAGGCTCTCACTTACCGACGCTTCCAGCGGACAACCTCCCAAAGCTCTTTACACCATTTTTGTCATTGTGAGTATCACACCCCCCTTTTCCCTTCGAGGCCATATGAGCGAGGTCTAACGAGCGAAAACAGTCCTGCGTAACCGTTCTTTACACCTCCCTATCGCTATTCACGACATGCTTCGGGCACAAGAAATTTTTCCTCGCCACCCTGATCATGGATTTCCTCCTGCTCGGTGGCTCCATCGCCATCTCTATCCTCATGCGCGGTTCTCCAAACATGAGTTGTGATCCGCTGGAATACTCCGATAGCATCACTTCCTCGTCGAACGACTTTCCTTCGAATATCTATCGATCAAGCGGTGGCAGTGGGAACCTCGCCGGGACACTCTGCCAGCTGGATAAGTCTGTTTTCGCCTTCGCTGTGGCCTTGAGGTTCTGCATCTATTCCTCCCCCTCCCATTTCTGTGGGCAACAATACTAACAACTCCCCCAGCGTTCTCTTCCTCATAACCCTCCTCCTCTCCTACCTTGCGCTGAGAAACCACCGCAAGAACCGCGCATTTGGCCCCGGCCCGGAGAACGGTTACTCGACCCGCAACAACCAGGCCCCCCGCTCTTGGAAGCGTAACCCTTTCAATAGGACTAGCGAGGAAACCGCACACACACATAATACCAACATGAGCGGAGTAGCCGCTGGAATGGCATCCCACGATGACCACGGATACGAGCACCGGCCTTCAGAGTTGGGACGTGGATATAGGAATTCGAGGCAGACGCCAACGTTGAATCCGCCGGAGGAACCGGGGCCGAATGTTTCCCCGGATTATGGAAGAGTTGCGCCCCATCAAATGTTTTGAGTTGGGCTGTTGGAGGACTGTGGTGTGTAAACGGTTTGATTCGATGGTTTGGGCGGTGGGTGTAGAGGAATTTTTTCTTTTCTTTCGGAAATACAAATCAGCTTTTGGACTTATATGATACCTGTTTCCTGCGCTTGGATCATTTCCGAGAACTTGGAAGTTTGGCGGTCAGGTCGGAACTTGTGTAAAAAAAAAAAATCCAGCTAGGGTGAGTCACTGCGACCGAAATGATCACGATTTCTCTAGCATCATGCGAATGAATACTGTACCGGTAGACCTATCCGTAGGCCACAACCACCACACCCATTACCACCCCGTACCGCCCTCACCAAGAGGTACATACATATATATACCACTCCCCATTCTTTCCAAAGTACCATACCAGTAACAAAGCCAGATCTCACCTCCCACGATATACGATATTCCGATCGGGTCCGTAGACTACAAGCCCGCCCTTCACACCAATTTCCCACGTAAAATACACCAAAACACTCTAGCCCGACTCTATCGTGGTATTAGCGCTCAGACACGAGCGGACGCCCCCCCATACCTGGTATCGTACTCGTACAGTACTTGTATGATGGATTAAGGTGGGATGTATGTCAGAGAATGGGGTACTGCGGGGGTGCGTTCGGGGGAATGGTGGTTCCAACTTCCGATTAGATTGGTCTACAGTGCTCGAATCGGTTCTTGTCTGCTTGGCTGGTGGGCTATAGAGCGTTCTGGATGCGGGATTGGTTATTCGAGAGCTACTATGTGATCTTAAGATAGAAGTTGTAGACCAGCTCTCTCTCTGGAGGGGGCACAAAGAGCTGGTCCGGGAAGGTTGCAATTTCAGCTATTATCCGTGGTCTAGTGCAACCTATTGAGGAGTACAGTACAGTACTCGTACCCGTAGATTTGTGTTGGGCTGGATTGATCTTGGCGGGGCTGAGATGCTAGACTTTTACTAGTCGAGTGAAGCAATGTGATGATATTGAAGTCGGTTTTAGCGGTGATTTGGTTCATGCTCACTTCGGAGGTGTCGTGGAGTTAGATTAGTTAACCCATTCTAATTGATCGTGAAGCCTTCATCATAATTTTCATTATCGTTAGGATACAACCGAAAAGACAGACCACCATCGTGCGCCACCCAAACCCCAATTGCAACTCCGAATCCCAGGATCGAGGCCAGCTCATCAACCCTCAAAACAGAATGAAAAAACAAGCAAACAGAGCTATCCCTAACAGTATTTCTACTCCCCGTCCCAATGCACTTCTTGACCCTCGTGAGCTGACTTTTACCGTAGCGTTTGCAGCGATCACAGATCCGTCGCGATCCCGCTTGATCAATCCGGCGAATTGCATTGCGTCAATGAATGGAAATACCGTGATATTTGTCTCGCACATCTCCTTGATGTCGTCCAAATTCTCCTCTGTCGGAGCGTTCAATACCACAGTTTGCGTCAGACAGCTGTCGTCACAAAATTCACTGATAGCTGCGCTATTGGCGGTTTCGGCGGTGGCGGCTTCCCAGGCTATTTCGTAGTCTGATTGCGAAATGTCGCAAAAATCTTTCGTACCACTGCGGCTTTGTTAGTGGGAGGATTATTTTTGTGGAGAAGGGTCACAAACGTGTCCCGGAGGCATTGTTTCCAGTATAACAGGATGCTTGCTTGTCCACTCATCACATTGCTCAACCATGATTGACCCAACCCCAATGCTTTCAGATCTGCACCTGCGCATGCCTCCCGTACCCCCCGCTCGTAGGTGAGCAACGATGTCGCGCATTCTGGTTCGCAAGCGTCCTCCAGTGTCGACTTCTTCTCATCCACATTTGGCGACATCAATATCGTAGGGTCGCAGTTTATTGGTTTCGTGTACGCTGTCGCGCAAGATTTCGGTAGCTGCGCTGCAGTCTCAGGCTTCAGGGTCCCGTTGAAGAACCAGTTTTCTCTGGTCACATTAAAGCCTTGATCAAGCAGCGCATTTGAAGGATTCCAGAAGGGGATTGAGAGAATGACCGAGGCGGGTAAGGAGTGGTGACTCTTCATGGTATTTGGTGGAAAATGAAAAAAAAAAGAAAGGGCCTAGTTGGTGAAATAGAGGAGCGTGCAGCTAGTTAAAGGCTATCGAATTGACACTAAGAGCAGGCTCTATGCACTAGGGTGCTAACCAAGATACCCGGGGGAAGCGGAGCAAAAGAGAAGAAGTGAGGAAGCGAATAGCAGGAGAAATATGCTCCCATAGACCTATGGCGGTGGGTCCCAGATGCCTATCACCGGCGCACGCTAGAGGCGGGGTATTGCCATGCTAGAGATCCGAGAATCTTGGTTTCATGGGTGAAACGTTCACATCTCTTCGTGGGCACGAAAATATTCTCCACTCCTCGGTGCACGAGGTTGTGATATCTCCCTCCTCCTCTGGGGTTTCGAAAATCACTAGAGTTGGCTCGAGGCTTGGCAGCCGGCACCAAACAGGAAAGCTGACGTTGGCCTCCTATGCAGGGGCGAAACGTCTCGCGATGGGGGGATGCAAGACTTGGTTTTTAAGGGTTCAATTTGCCCTATTTGGAATATTCAGGTAACCTTAAATCGTCTCCACTTGCCACTACCGAGCAGATTCAACAGGCGCAGGTTGACAGAAGCTTGGTACAACGGCGAAAGAGCCACAGTCAATTGAAGGCGGCTATGTTGAAGCCCTTTATCCAAGTCTTACGAAGGTACGGCCCATAAGTTTTGTATGTTTTACTAGTAAGGGGGTGTGGCGCTAGCGTGGTACAGGTAAAGTACGGTAACGGTAGCGAATTTGGTACGGTGTCTTGGAGATTCTCCTCGAGTATGGCGAGGGTGAAAGCTCTCCAAGCCACTATCTAATTCACCCCCCCACTCCCTGCTAGTAGAACACCCCCTGCTGGTAAAATATAAAAAACTTATGGGTTGTAAATTTACTTCCGTAGATCAAGTACCGGTACTTTACGAGTACAGCGGTCCGTGGGGCTCTCGCGCCTTTATTTTCACGAGCAGGTACAGTACGATTATATTATTGCAGGGTACCCTTAACAAGGGATATCGGTATGGTGATAGTTGTGACTTGGCATTACGGTACTCGAGTACGAGTACTCGGGCTTCTACCCCGTCGCACGAGGGGTTGGTGGGGTGGAGATGCTCCTGGTGCAGGCTGTAGACTTGTAGATGGCATGCTAAGCCATGTGCGAGTTGTTGTTTCAGATGAGGGTGGACAAGATGAGGTACGGTAGCGGTAACACTGTACCGCACGGAGCATCTCGTTTTTGTACAGTACCAGTACGGTACGGTACTCGTACTGGCACGCCTTGATGTGCGACTGCATCTGCACAGTACCGTACTGCTGCTATCTAAGCAGGTACCGGCCCTAACCAAGGACACCAGTAGGAATGAATTTGCTAGAGCCGCAGTACGCATCCTAGACCTGAACCACCGGTGTGAAACCCCCTAAGTTAGTACCGGTAGTCTACCGGTACTGGCGGGCACTGAAAATCGCCACTTGTGTTAATTCGCCAAAGATATCGTCCGATATAGTTAGCCTCCACCGTATTAATTTAGCAGTTCTCACGGTCGGTGCTCCCAGTCCTCTATCCATTCCATGGACTGGACGACACCAATCCTGGGTTTTCTTGGTGCCATGTTACTCTGTTTTATCTATTTATTCGTTCATTCCGCATTTATTCCGACTTGTGTTGTAGTGCGGTATTGGCGCAGGAAGTTGTGGCAGTTTGGCATTTCGCGCCAGGGATAGGCAACTTGACGTCAGGAGATCTCTTCGGCCAAGATATTAGGAGTACGAGTACTCGAGTATGGGGGGGGGGTAGGCAAAAGATGCGCTGAATCTTCTTGGTTTTCCTTAGAAAAGGTGCTCGTACAGTCCTGTACGAGTACTAGTACAGGTACTGTACAATACCGTGCTCTGCAACACCTCATAGAATAGCCCTGAGTTAGAATAGCTAAATTGTCGACACTCACACGGCGACAAAAATCACCCAATTTTTACCAAAACAACCTAAGCAATTGTGAAGCCTGTCCGATACAGCAGTCCGTAGGGTGCTGCGCACAAGAGATCCGGTCAAGAAAATAACGGGATCTGGAGTGCATCCTTCCGTAACTAGGAATAAAATACCAGGGTTGCAAACTGGGACCCACGTATCCCCTCCCATCTCTTGGGCGCCCTGACGGACCAAGGGGTGATGTGATTCTGCTTTGATTAATTCGGTAAGATTTTGGGTGAGTTGTGGGTCATAAGGGTGGCCTATTTTGGTGTAAAATGCCAAACTGCTCATGACTTTTTGCGCCAAGATGGTGCAGTACTGTACTAGAGCTTGTCCAACCGGGTGCAGTCGCTAATCCTAACTTGTCCTCAGTCGACTGTCTTTCTGAGCCAGTCTCGGGCAATAATTTATTGTGGCACTTACTACGGGTGAACCGCCGGACCGGCATTGCCACCCACAGTAATGCTGTAGTACTGTACCGTACTCGAGCATGTCCAGGAGGTAAGCCAACTCCGCACCTCCGTCTATCCCCCAGTACTAGTATGATACTGTACTCGTACGAGTACATCAAGTAAGTACCCCCGGACGGACTGGGCGGCTGAAAGCACTGGCTCCCGCGCAGAAGTTATAGAATTTTGGATCATCCTGGCTTCGCGGCGAGTGGAAATTCCTTCAAGTCATTTCGTAATTCTCAGAGCAATCATGGGGTAAACACTTTTGTCGGAGCCCTTGGAGCTCGTGGCTGCAGTTGTTGAGCTGGGGGAGGTTGAGGTTCTCCATATTCCGGGTTGGATGGGGGTTGATTTCATTGCCCGGCAATGTATGGGGGCCCTGCTGGCGCGGCGGTAGGGGTACAGTACCATGTCCCGTACAGTATGAAGTACCAAGATACAGGGATCGGGGATTTGTATCGCAAATTCTCTGCGCACACAACTGACCCCTCACACAAAATCCAGACACAAAAAGTCTCTGCTTCTTTTTTCTTTTCTATTTCTATTTTTTCATTTGTTGGATTCGTAGTTTGGTTTTGGGTCCATGACAAGCACTTCCGGGGCATGACTGTCGCACGTGGGAGGGTTCACATGATGGATGAAAACCCAAATGCAATGCGTGGGAAGAAGAAACAAATCCAAAAAGACATAAACCAGTAGCACCCTGTGGGTCTATCGGAAGAAGTGAATTCATGTCTTGAGTGAATATTCTAAGCGGACCCAACCTCAGATCGGTGGAATCAGCTTTCAAAT